CTGAATGTGCGTGGATGTTGTGCAGATGATAAGAAAGAGATGATTGTGGATGTTATGAATGAGAAGAAGCTGGATGTCCTGGCTTTAAGTGAAACAAAGCTGAAGGGGGTGGGAGAGTTTCAGTGGAGAGGAATAAATGGGATTAGGTCAGGGGTTTCAATAGAGTTAGAGCTAAAGAAGGAGTAGCAATAATGTTGAAGGATAAGCTATGGCAGGAAAAGAGGGACTATAAATGTATTAATTCAAGGATTATGTGGAGTAAAATAAAGATTGGATGTGAAAAGTGGGTTATAATAAGCGTGTATGCACCTGGAGAAGAGAGAATGTAGAGGAGAGAGAGAGATTTTGGGAAATGTTGAGTGAATGCGTGGGGAGTTTTGAATCAAGTGTGAGAGTAATGGTGGTTGGGGATTTAATGCTAAAGTGGGTAAAAATGTTATGGAGGGAGTAGTAGGTAAATTTGGGGTGCCAGGGGTAAATGTAAATGGGGAGCCTTTAATTGAGCTATGTGTAGAAAGAAATTTGTAATAAGTAATACATATTTTATGAAAAAGAGGATAAATAAATATACAAGGTATGATGTAGCACGTAATGAAAGTAGTTTATTAGATTATGTATTGGTGGATAAAAGGTTGATGGGTAGGCTCCAGGATGTACATGTTTATAGAGGGGCAACTGATATATCGGATCATTATTTAGTTGTAGCTACAGTTAGAGTAAGAGGTAGATGGAAAAGAGGAAGGTGGCAACAACAAGTATGAGGGAGGTGAAAGTGTATAAACTAAGGGAGGAGGAAGTTCGGGTGAGATATAAGCGACTATTGGCAGAAAGGTGGGCTATGCAAAGATGAGTAGTGGGGGGGTTGAAGAGGGTTGGAATAGTTTTAAAAATGCAGTATTAGAATGTGGGGCAGAAGTTTGTGGTTATAGGAGGGTGGGGGCAGGAGGAAAGAGGAGTGATTGGTGGAATGATGAAGTAAAGGTGTGATAAAAGAGAAAAAGGTAGCTTATGAGAGGTTTTTACAAAGCAGAAGTGTTATAAGAAGAGCAGAGTATATGGAGAGTAAAAGAAAGGTAAAGAGAGTGGTGAGAGAGTGCAAAAGGAGAGCAGATGATAGAGTGGGAGAGGCACTGTCAAGAAATTTTAATGAAAATAAGAAAAAATTTTGGAGTGAGTTAACAAGTTAAGAAAGCCTAGGGAAAATATGGATTTGTCAGTTAAAAACAGAGTAGGGGAGTTAGTAGATGGGGAGATGGAGGTATTGGGAAGATGGCGAGAATATTTTGAGGAACTTTAAATGTTAAGAAGAAACAGAGGCAGTTTATTTCATGCACTGGTCAGGGAGGTATACATCTTTTAGGAGTGAAGAAGAGCAGAATGTAAGTGTGGGGGAGGTACGTGAGGCATTACGTAAAATGAAAGGGGGTAAAGCAGCTGGAACTGATGGGATCATGACAGAAATGTTAAAAGCAGGGGGGGATATAGTGTTGGAGTGGTTGGTACTTTTGTTTAATAAATGTATGAAAGAGGGAAGGTACCTAGGGATTGGCAGAGAGCATGTATAGTCCCTTTATATAAAGGGAAAGGGGACAAAAGAGACTGTAAAAATTATAGAGGAATAAGCTTACTGAGTATACCAGGAAAAGTGTACGGTAGGGTTATAATTGAAAGAATTAAGAGTAAGACAGAATGTAGGATTGCGGATGAGCAAGGAGGTTTAGAGTGGGTAGGGGATGTGTAGACAGGTGTTTACATTGAAGCATATATGTGAACAGTATTTAGATAAGATAGGAAGTTTTATTGCATTTATGGATTTGAAAAGGCTATGATAGGTGGATAGGGAGCAATGTGGCAGATGTTGCAAGTATATGGAATAGGTGGTAAGTTATTAAATGCTGTAAAGAGTTTTTATGAGGATAGTGAGGCTCAGGTTAGGTGTGTAGAAGAGAGGGGACTAATTTTTCCCGTAAAAGTAGGCTTAGACAGGGATGTGTAATGTCACCATGGTTGTTTAATATATTTATAGATGGGGTTGTAAAGGAAGTAAATGCTAGGGTTTGGGGAGAGGTAGAAAGTTGAAATGTGAATCTAGAAAAGAGTAAGGTGATGAGGGTGTCAAATGATTTAGATAAAGAAAAATTGGATATCAAATTGGGAGGAGGAGTAATGGAAGAAGTGAATGTTTAAGTATCTTGGGAGTTGACGTGTCGGCGGATGGATTATGAAGATGAGGTTAATCATAGAATTGATGAGGGAAAAAGGTGAGTGGTGCGTTGAGGATATGTGGAGTCAAAAAACGTTATCTATGGAGGCAAAGAGGGAATGTATGAAAGTATAGTATTACCAACACTCTTATATGGGTGTGAAGCTTGGGTGGTGAAATGCAGCAGCGAGGAGACGGTTGGAGGCAGCGGAGATGTCCTGTTAGGGCAATGTGTGGTGTAAATATATGCAGAAAATTCGGAGTGTGGAAATTAGGAGAAGGTGGGATTAACAAAAG